TTCGTCCCTTCCGTTTTCATACTTAATGGTGTCTCTAGAGGAAGCAAAAGCGAATGCGGACAGTACTCGTTTAGTTCCTCAGTACGACATTGATGCTCCAATCCAAACGACATATATCCCTTGCACAATATGGTTCCTAAGCCTGAATGGAAGGCACTGTCCATTTCTACTTACATGAGTGCAGGCGGTAGTGCCGAGCGGGTCGCTCTTTCCCCTTCAAGCGTTCCAACTGGATCAATGATCACTTGACGCTTGCATTTGCCTCTCCCTCACCAAACAAGACCACTATGTATGTAGTGGTGTTGTTCATACCTAGAACTCACTGACAATGATATTTCCAGAAAAATGCTCATATCTCGACAATGATTGCCTTCCACAAGGCCACCTTTAAAAATGTCAACAAGGACGTCATTCAACAGAAACTGCCGATGGTTCCTATCGTTGTCATTGATGGACTTCTATCACGGTTTACAGAGACTGCACGCGGGTCCGTAGAGTACGTCTTTTATACCTTCCTCTGGGTAGTGGCCCTCAAAATTTCCCAGGGCAAGAAAGACATCTGAAAAAGGGACTATGCTTCTGACACACATGTTTGCATTATGCCTTCACGTCGACGATTTTGCAACCGACACAAGCGTTCTCGCCGCTGATTTGAGCATGGAACCGGCGAAGTAAGTTTTCCAGTAGCAAGAATCATGCACTAAGTTCATGCCTTGGCAGAGTCAATATGTTGTTCAGGTCCCTGGGTACGTGCAGCCTGATTTCAGTCGTCCTTATCCCTCACTGATTGTGTTCGTCTTATCAGGTTGCAAAATCAACAAGCTAACACCGTCCGACTTGAGGCGTCTGGTCTGCCCGATTCTGCGGGAGAGGTCAAAAGGGCTATTCTAAAGACACCTCTAGAGTTCCCGAAACCCCGGATGAGACGGCGGACGTAAGATTGGAGTGGCTGATCTTTACTTTCTTCCACGGAATCAAGGAAAAAATTACTAGGTCCTGGGAGGTGTTGGAGCAATAGTGTCTGAGTAACGAAGACTAGTGCCTAGTTAAGTCTATCTCACGTCGTCCAGTCATTTAGCATGTTTCATTGTTTGCTCCTGTTCCTCGTTCTGTGCATCAGTGAAGCATCAGCAACTTGCAGAGAAAGACAACGCGTCGTATCTGCTAAGTGAGCGAGAGTGGATTTAAGTCTAGTGACTCTTGAAAGCTAATAGAGGAATTATAACTGTTGGGGGCAGCTCATTATTTCGAAGCTAAGAGTGAGCATCAGTACCTTCGATCCAACAATCGCATGCACACCCTTTGAAAGTGGTAGTTATATTATGTCAGACCAGTCAAGTAGTACCACCGCAGCGTTAGAAACTAGTAGAGGTCCGACCTCGTTTATTTGTAACATCCGAGTGACTCTCGGGAGGAATATTATACATACCACTGAATGACATCCATCACTTGCTCTCTGTAGTGGATATTGAACTCCAGCAAGGTATCAGGATATGATTTTGTCTTGGAAGTTATGTGGCCGTGAAGAAGGTTCGGGAGCATTCAGCGCTTCAGCCCCGGAATCTTTGTCATTCCTCACGTAGATGAGTCTGGAGACAGTTACGTACTGGATATTTAGCTGTTGCATATCCTACACATACTTATATGGTACAACACGGGACTGCTCGATACCCACACTTGACCCTTGTATAGTTGCACCTCACGCCAATTTGATTACTACCTTTCCGACATGCTTCTGGCTCTCGAGGTACGCATAAGCCTTGGTGGCTTCCTCGAAGGGAAAGACTTTGTCTATCACTGGATGGATTTTGCCCGCTGTAAGGAGTCGATTCATGTCCTCAAACCTATAAGTTGGGCATCAGTACAATAGAGATATGAAAATCAAACCATACTGTTTGACAGAGCCAATCAAAATTCCGCGGAAGTTGATCGCTTTCGTGATCGCAAGGCCTACGGGAATACCGTTATCGCCCTGCATAAATAAGTAGCGTTAATGGTATCGATAAAGATCCAGATTGAAGCTTACCCCAGACACGAAGCCGATGATGTGAACCCATCCAGCATAACGTACGGCATTGATACATTTCAGTATAGTATTGGGCCCTCCGACCTGTATCACACTTGATTGAGTTCGCCACAATTGTGCATTTCTAGGCAGACTAACTTCGATGATGTGGTCAACGCCACGGCCGCCGGTCTAAATATATTAGGCGCGCTAGTGAAGGCCGCAAAATTACACATACAATATTCAAAACTTCTTCGTCCCACTTAACGTTCTTCTTGTAGTTGATGATGTGCTGCACACCCAATTTCTTTGCGACTTGTAGTTTTTCATCAGAAGATGATGTGACGATGACGGTCGCACCAGAAGCAAGGGCTAATTGGGCGCCGAAGCTAACAGATCCACTTTTACACAAGTCAATATCGTCAGTGAACTGTCACGTACATTGAAACGCCACCGGTACCGAGAACGAGAACGTAGTCTCCCCCTTTGACAGGGACGGGTCCAAGACAAGCGTTGTAAGCTGTTAACGCTGCGCATCTAGCGAAAGTTTAAGCATGTTAAGATAAGAACAGATAGTAAACTTACGGAAGAGTCGACCCTTCCTCGTATGAAAGATGTTCTGGGATGCGGACCAACGACTTAAATAGACATATTCGCAACTAATACGACACTAAAATCAAAAGAACACATACGTGAACGGGGACGTTGATGTACTCCTGGAGCACGCCATCGATGTGGCCACCAAGTCCAGTAAATTTGATATCTTCAGTGACATCGCCATGGATATGGTCCAGTGCAAAGTTTGGGCAGACACGATCTCCAACTTTCCACCCCTTGACCTCTTGCCCAAGTGCAACAATCTCGCCTGCGCCATCAGAGCAAGGAACGATGTCTCGCTTTTGCCTGTGAGATACGTGTTGAGCGCCAATTCAAACTTAAAAAAACAATACTAACTGCGGGTAAATTCCTTTGGAGACCATCAGGTCACGAAACTGAAAGTACGTTGAATCTCTGACAGTTGAATACTTAAATGAGGACAGACCTGCAGGGAGACGGCATGTATTTTGATGGTAACCTCGGTAGCCTTCGGCTTAGAGAGAGTCACTGATTGAAGCTTCAAGTTTTGGTGGCCATCACCCTACCTCGCCGTGTTTGTGAGTTAATGTCGAACTCTGTCGGTAAGTATACAAATCACGCGTACCTGGGTGCGATATTCACGAAAACTAGTTGGAACAGACATCACTGCTTCAGCTGTGCGTCACGGTAGGATGATCTGGTGGAAGATAGGCTATCAGTTCCTGCTTCCTGAGACTACCACTTACTTATAGTGTAGGAATAAGGTTAATGATGGAGCCAAGTGCGTGCGAGTGCATCCTACATAGTGCCCCACGGTGATACCTGCGATTCGGAGTAGTATATATAGTTAGCGTGTTTACTTGAAGGTCACTACGACCGATGATTGCAGCTCAAGAAGCTCAAAGTTTTGTACACTTGGAACTAACGGTAACGTATTCTTCTCCAAACCGTCTGCAAGCTAAACCGCTTTCGTATGATTCAGCTTAATAAGACCGGTAACGTTACTTGGACCTTACGTAATATAAGCGGGGAACTTTGGACACAGGCACATGTGCGTTCGTGGGAATTTGATAAGTTGATGACTGTACAAGCTCGGTAAACTGACTATTAATAATTTAATATTGATGTGCTTTGTGAATGTACTCCGTGGTCTGCCTATGCATATATCAGTGCTCGCATTCTAATGGTCTTTCCTGTCATATCTGAATCTGTGCCATATTTTTGCAATGTACAGTGTGATATCCTGCTTTGTCACTTCCTTTGCACTCTGCCTTTAAAGAGCCCTGACAAACGTTACATTGCACAGATACTATCTATAGAGTGCGGAGCCGTCGTGACGGAGCGCCTCGCTTGCACGAGCGCATGAAAATCTATGAAAAATGGACAGACAGGAATAGAAAATACAGACGGCACGGCCCGGGAGCCTTCATGCTGTCCGTCGAAGTGAGTGGCCAGTCACAGTGTTCTGTTGGAGTGCTTACATCCCTATTATGACGCCTCATAGTGAATTGAACTGCCTGTTCGCGCAGTTTTCTTTCAAAGCTTACATGATTCAAAAGTAGTCGTCATTTCAGCTTATACTGGCGTGCCTTTGAGTTTGCCAATATTTGTAGTCATCCAACAAGCGGTTGACCCCTTCAGCGTCAGACGATGCACCCTGCCACAGTGTGTATCCATGTCATTTATCTTCAAAAATGATACTCTTAATGGTCTGATGCTCGAAAAGGCAGGCATCATCGACGATTCTCCCAAGTCCACTGCAATGAACGTGTGCGCTTTGCGATATTACCAAAGAAAAAGATCCTTCGATTTGCCTTGGAGCACTCCTCAGATCCAGTGCAACCATCACGACAGGTCTTTCATAGCAATATATGCGCGCATAAAATGAATGCTGTGTCTACAGCATCGTGCTGCCTCGAACTCCTGCCAGTATCAACGGGCTGAGCATTGTGTTTGTTGATCTTGGAAAATTCAAACCTGATCAGTTGGGGTTACTCGTATGGTCGAAGTATCACCATCGGTTGTATTTTAACATACACATCGAACGAGAAAACTTGAATATTGAGCTCAAGTTATCCTGCCAAGTCCCGACGATGCAATTCCTGGCTTGTCGGAGCGCGTACTCGAGAACCACAAGCTTGGTGTCAAAAGGGTGTTGAAGGGGAGTCAACTGTACTGCAAGAGCATCTTGCAGAGCTTGTGGTGGACGGAACAATCGATGACTCCGGGTCCGTTGTAATGATGCTTTGAAGGTGGATGTCTCCGATCTAGAGTGTGACAACATTAGACGGCCTCATTCCAGGCACATACCCCACCCCTTTCCCGTTTGGAATCGGAGAGCAAAACTTCAAATATATGTCACCTGTCTGGACAGTTTGCGATTGTTGACTACGGTCCCATTGGAGTCGGGGGTTGGTGGCTCGCAGTAGCTACGATGTTGTGACGGATGCTTAGTGCAAACTGCACGTGGTTTCGTCAGTCGAATGGCAATAACTGAGGATACTAATGCTTATATTCCGGACACTGTACGTACCTGTAACAGTGCAATATCCACATGTACATTAAACAGAATAAATAGTTCATCGTCCCAAGAGAATCACATACGCTAGACCTGATTCAGGGGTTCATAGCCTCTCCGACTGGAGCCCATACCCATCCGCATACTGAGCTTGCCAAGTAGACTTTTACTCCTGCTGCTGCTGGGGCCTTCGTGATCGTGCTCAAGGTCGCCCCGTTCCGCTTCCTTCCGTTTCTTGGCCTCGTCGAAACCTTCCAAGGGCACATCATACACCTGGCCATACTCCACGCCAAGTTCCTTGCCCATACTCCAAAAGTCCCTGCAGTTCCGTACAGCTCCAAAGTCAAATGGATTGCGTGCATGCGAGGTGAGTCCGCGTGCGGCACGTCCACGGGTGAACCGGTCGAGGCCGAGGAGGTTGAGTAGGAAGGCGGTACATGTTCCGGGCGCAGTGAGGGTCCCGCAGAAAGTATGGTTATGTGCCTGTTTGTGGGCACCACCCTCTGCTTCGCTGTCGGTGTCGGCATTCTGCTGGTGAGCGCCATGATGGTGCCGATGTCCCATCTGAATACCGGCGCCTCCACTGCCAGCAGCAAGGGTGCCGCGACCGCCCATGAAGCCGAAACGCCCGAGATTGGAGACCTCGAACGTTGTTAGCTGTCTAGTCACTTGCCAGTACTGTGTCACGAGAAGTACGGAAGTCCACGTCAGTTGCAGTGCCGACCATAGTGAGACACAAAGAAGGAATGCATCCTTCAATGCTGGCTCGCAGAGGATTATGGAGCAGTCAACGGATTCTGACAATGATACCGACGAGAAATCTGGCATTACTCAGTTGAGACTCTTCAGAAAGATGATGATCGAGAACATACATTCATAAACAAGGTAATCAAACAACACGATGTCGATGACTAGTGTCGAGACAAATAGTAAAAACTGCCTGTGATTATTTGCTCCGACTACAAACTGCATCAGAGTTGGAGTGCCAGTATTCAAAGAACTTAGCTTACCACAGTTCCAGACCCATGGACAATGGCTATGACACACGAAGTTCACTTTTGTAGCTCTCTATGAAAGGACAGGACATACTGGTCACTTCGCGCTACACATCGATCACAAATCCGGCAATGTTTTGACCGTAGGGGTTTCTTTGCCTGTGTAAAATGTTGGCATAAGTTTGCACCTTACAAGATTGACACGCACCATGCATTGTATGCAGAATGTCTGCCCATTGAGTCTGCCCTCTGAAGCAAGGTCTTCGATTATCTGCAATCTCCGTTACTATGTGCATATTCATAGTAGAACGCTTATACACTCACTGCCTTCAATTCTCCGTCATGTGCTGGTCGGGGGCAAAGACCTGGGTCCAAAGTAACGGACCGGAAGAAGTTATACAAGCATAGACCAAATATGATTGCGAAAGCCAGGTGAACAAAGGGATGAGATTCTGTCTCTGGAGTGATGTCAGCCCGCGGCTGCAAAAGTATAGCATATGACATACGCTGCACAAGTCGTGTTATCCAGCAATAACCAACCCATAGCATCGACCCTGCGATGATGCCTGCGAAATATGGACTTTGGTTTACTGTTCCAACGTAGGTGTTCTTATTCAACAGTACCCGGGTTACGATCTGCTTGTCATGAGTTATCGTATGGTTATGGCAAGTTTGTCGCCACTTACATGATGCATGGCAAAAAACTCAGCCATGGCGAGTATAATGCCGGTATACCACGGCAGAATGGCAAGCGTTGTGAAAATGAAATATAGAAACAAGGAAGGTAAGATGAAGGTGGCAAATTTGCTATTGCGCTAGAGCCGGATCAGAGTTTGCGGGGCGAGATCAAAGGGAGTGAACGGACCTCGTTCAATGGTTTCGCTTTGACCACACCATGTTCCGTCATGCCACCCTCTTCCATGGCTCTCTTCCACGCGCCTAGGCTCTTTAATTCAACAGCCATGTCTCTTGGTGTACGGCCCTCAACATCTTTTGCGTGCATGTCTGCGCCCATTTCGATGAGGCGCCGGAGAATAACTCGATTGCCTCGGACCACAGCCCAGTGTAAGGGGGTAAGTCCAACATCATCTTTCAAGTTGGGATTCGCGCCGTGCTTAAGCAGAAGATCCACAGACAGTGCATCGCCTTGATACGCAGCCCACATCAATGACGTATGACCTTGTAAGTCACGAGAGTCGACGTTCACAGGTTGATGCAGTAAGTAAAGGAGTGGCATTACTGATGATGAGTGTGTCACGAGGTGGAGGGAGTTGTAGCCTTGGGTGTCAGCGATGGTTGGATCAGCATTGTGGGATATGAGCAGTTGCACGATGTAGAGGTATCCGTTGCGTGCGGCCCATTGCAGAGGGGTAGCCTGTAGATCACCCCCTATTGCGTCTATTTCCGCGCCCTGTTCTATGAGATAACGGCAGGTTGCAATCTGGGCGTTTATTGCTGCCCAGTGAAGAGGAGTGCTGCGGATGTTCATGAGTGTGGCAAAAGCATTTGAGTTAGGCTTACACATTCTGGTCATCTCTGTCTGTGACCTTGCATTTTCCTGACTCGACGAGCTCATGAATGGCACTGAGATCCCCGCGCTGTGCTGCTGAGATTATTTCTGCCTGTGTGACCGTTAGTTAGAGCCTGTAAGAATGAACTAATATTAATTACCACAGGTTCAACTGACGGTTGAGAGTAAGATATATTAGTCGCGGTAGCTTGCTCATGAACTACTTGAGTTGTAGGGTCGGATTTTTTCGGTTCATTCATGTCGCTCGTGCGGTCGTTGGCTGTCGTGGGCGTTCGCAAGTTCACGAGCTGAATGTCATCCACGTGAGTTTATGACGTGACGACGTGACGTGACTACCATCAATAAACCCTAGGCTCGGGTTAGGGTTCTACTACTTCTCACTTCTCTTCCATGGTCACCGCAACAGAAGTATTCCTGGTAGTTGCATCAGGGTACATCCCCTGTCTAAATGGTTCTGGGCAAATTTCTCACTTACATTTTTGAAGAGGACTTCTGTTCATTAGTTGCCGCATCTTCTTGCAAAAGAAGTTGTACAAGGACCTTCAACAACTCGCCCCGCAAGACACGTTGCCAGGGTCCGCAGTGACTCCGCAATCAAGTAGCACACAACCATGGCATTCGACACTCGCGCAGACGTGTTTCTCACTCTGCTTTTCTGAATGCAGTATCTTATTCTGTATGCTCATGTGTCAGGGTTTGGATTGGTTGGAACCGAGGTGTGTCATAGCTCGATTGTGCAAGCTCTCTACAATAACTCAGTCTGCATGGCCATAACAGAATTCGCCTTCTGAGCTGGCGAATAGCACTATTCCTTCTACTATTCACGATCCTTTTACTTGTTCCCATATCTTTCAGCCTCATCCTAACCTACCGTCCTGGTAAGATGCCATAATTCCTCCTGTCTCCCCAAACGTCTTCTAACAATCTCAGATAATCCAGGTTTTGTGCAATCTCGTGCATTGCCAATCCGTGTTGCTTTTGCATTAGCACCTGTGGCACTTTTCATATTTGCCCTTTCATATATTCCACTCCCCGCCGAGCTACTCTTGTACAACCCGCTAACAGCAGTCACTGTACGGCTGGTCACGTTGGGAACCACGGTCCTCGGACTACTTTCCGGGTTCGGTGCAGTTAGTGGTGCATGGGGCATCATCAGCTGGTCTCGGTGAGTGAACACTCGACCAGTTACACTACTATTCAACTTGCAAAGATCAATACCATCGGCATCATCGATTGCGTCTGCTGAAAACGCGCTTGAAAGAGTCAAGAGCGATCTGCGAGATCGTTCTCGTGACTTGGATGACTATGTGAGCTCAAAGGTACTGTGGGCCAGCATAAGTCGTCGCACTTTCGTCTCAAATACTTTAGCCGCAACCAGATGGATCATGGTTGTCACGGATGTCGTTCAAGCGAAATGGACGTACGTATGGTCTGTCTGTTTCTTCTGGACCTGTATTCACATTGTCAATTCCTTGTAAGAACAAAGCTCAGTACAGCAGGAAGTTATTGGTCTCCAAGCTCTTGAAGAGCAGATGAGCATTCGCGTTGTTGCTCTCAAACGCAACCGAATTGCGGCAGAGTATGCAGACTCGTTCACGGGCAAGACTATCACGTGGTCATGGGCAGTTTATTGCGTCTGCCGAGTATGTAGTGTAAGCGGTCTTCCCCTCGTCTGTAAAACTCTCAGACATGTCTATCCCAGTCAGCCTTCAATATTCTCTCCCCGACCGTGTCGAACTCGGGTTCCTCTTCCGCATCATATGGGGATATAGTTGCGCACATACTTGCATGGCTGTTCTCTTTGCTTCCCTTGTCTGCGACAGGAGATGAAGGAAAACTACAATTCGATACTCCATCTCTATCAAAACAAATTAGTCTTTCCCTTGTGGGCGTCATCATTTTATGTTCCCTCCGCTTGGTACTACGTGGTGTCACGAGAGTGAGTTGTCTGTTGAACTTTCATTTCAGCTATGTACTGATGGCACACAGGCATTTCATGTCACATCACGTAAAACATCAGCGTCGCTGATGATATTGACCCTCGCGCAACTCATGGTATTGGTGAATTATTCTTTGACGTTTCTCGTGTGACCAAACGGGCACTTAGGGCATATATCTCCTGTCGACTCTTGTCCAGCTTCGTACAACCTTTCCGCCGGCAGTACCCCCTGTTATAGGCGACTCCCAAGAGTCTCAGGGATCGTCTGATGATAGCATGAACTTGTTTGCGACGCTGCCAGAGTACTCGTTATTCGGTGGCTTGTTTGATTGGTCATTCCTGATCGGTGCGGCGGGGTGCGCATTCGGTCGCTGGGCGAGAAGTTCATTTGAAGGAGACGACTTGGACGTGTAGTCCTCGAACGTTCGCTGTACATGTACTTGGTAAATACTCTCACTAGTACTCTTGCAATTGAAACACGACCATTATTTGGTCTTGTTGAATTCCCAAGCCGGTGCCCATTCTTACAACGGTACCTGCCTAATCCAGTCTGAAAGCACAGAAGGCCCGTGCACGCGTAGAATTTTTACATATAAAAGGGCTGTCTGAACCACTCGAATCCTTACCACTCTGGCCTTTTGGCTTAGATCAAGTGTAGTATCTGTTCTTAATAGTTTAACCACTATTATGAGGGCACCGCCCTCATTCTTTGGTTATCAAATTTTTGCCGCCCTTGTTCTTCCGAGCTCTGCTTGCAACTTGGAGGATATGATGACCTTGCCACTGCAGTATCGGCTTGTGTTGTCGGGGGATTCTTTGCTTTTGCGATCTCGTCTTCTCTTTGCTATTGAGTCTATCTATGGTCCCCTTGGCCATGTCTGATCCATAGCAAACAGATTCCGACGATTTCTTTGGTTTATGGAATATGCATTGGACACTGCAGGGACCGCATCCTAGAACTCATAAATAAATAAGTGGACTTTGGTCAGTAGCGGAGTTCCTCATACTCATGACATTTACATTCAACTGCAATGCAAATTACCACGATACCACACTTTGTGTTTATCTCTATGCATTAGACCGTCATTCGTTCGACCCCCACATCTCAAAGAACACGTCCCGGTGTTCTTTGGCCTTTCCAACCCAACTTGACTTGCCTCGCTTGCACGAGATTCGAAATTCGCACCGAAGGAAATCAAGAAGCACTTCAAAGATTTTGATGGCCTAATTCCAAGCACGGTGATACTATATGGCGCTATGCTGAACAATGGACGATCGACCCGTCACAGCCAGGCGAAATCCAACGCAAGATGGAAGAATGTATTTGGACGAGCACTATTCTCTACATTATTGGCGGATGGAGCAAAGACAGAAGCTTAACAGCAGATTTTTTCTTGCAAGTAGTGTCGATCTGATCATCCGCGAAAAATATACTGATTTTGGGACGCTCCAGCATGCATCTCGTAACTTCAAGTCTCTTCCTTCCATCCCTGTTGCCTCACCTGCCGCAAGACTCGCAGGTTCTTTTGCTTCGCGGATACTTTGCGTCGACTCTTGGGTGGCGGATCACACACGGCTCGAGTCCCTCGACTAGACATTCAAGGCTTCCTCAGCACAACTTCGTATGTTTCAAGGTCGCAAACCCATTCCTCGATATCGTTCAGTCTGCGATAATGCACCCAGACTCTCATCTGTTGAAGATTCAGCGCGCATTTGCGCATTTCTCTTCATTTTATAGCGCACAGCCAAAGGGCTCCTTCGGAGGTATGGAGCTAGATGACGCAGAAGCGCTGGATGGATCGCTCTTCCTTAGGACCGCAAGATTGACTAGCAGGGGCACGAGGACCTGAAGTCAAGAGGGGTCTCCTGTGAGCGAGGGACCTGAGGAATTTGTGGGTGCTCTTATGCAGTTGTGTGAGTAGTGAGAACGAGAAAAAATGTATGCTTGATTGCGAGCAACTAAGTAGCCTCCTTGGCCAATTTTAATGACGATCATACATATTTGTCGGACTACCAAGTATGGCATGTAAGTAAAGAAATTATAATTCTTTTCGCGCAATACACTACCTTGGAACTACACAACGGAGTCAGACGTTAAGCAACAGCAACTGAAATATGCAGAAGGTGATTAGCTAGCTAGTATTGGACATTACATATAGCTTTAAACACGTAGCATTTGTGGTCGATCTACATAATGATTACATGTGTATGCCGGGACTCTAAGTACGGTGTGCAAGCACATGAATCACGAGGTACTCTACACATGTATTCCATAGCTCAATCATGTCCCGGCCCCGCTCTCTATCCTAGTAGCTCATTTGCAACGCAACAGTAACAGACGGGTAGCCATGATCAGTACTGCGAGCGTCTTGAAGTCCAACGAGAGCAAGGTGTAGATGTAATTTCGTACTAATGATTTCGTATGCAGAATTTGCAGGACATGGAGCACGGCGGCAGAGGAGCGAGTTCGACAATGGGATACAATTCTGAGTTCGACTATGGGGTACAGTTAGCCTCGGGATCAAGGTGTAAGCACGCTGGCTTACCTGAGTTCCCATAATCAGGACATATACTGTCGCTGATGCTGAAAGCTAAGCTTTCAGTATTTCACCTTTTGGTGTAACGCTTATGCGGGCGGCAGTCTGACCATGTTACACAAGGGTTAGCTATCCAATCGAATTTCGGCCATCAAGTTGAGTTTCCTATGGGATCGCTCCCAGCCATGCTGTCAAAGCCAAGTTCCCTAGACAGACAAACTGCGAAATCCAAGGGAAACATGAACCTGGAGGGGACTTTCTGCACCAGGACTTGTCGAGAAAGGAAGTAGTGTTAATGACTCAGTGAGTAGGGCAGGCGATTATGTACCACGTGCAGAGCATCACCGGGGCGCAAAGAAGGTCCGATAGAGTCAGGTAACAAATCACAAGCTATTTCTCATAAATGGCTAGAAAATATACTTGGTGAGTGGTGATTGAGATCTTGACTCACTCTGCCGACACGTACCTCATTTACTTTGAGATCCGGACTGTTTCAGAAGAGAAGAATCGCATTATTAAAGTTAGGAATGGAGCAGCGCAAGTTGCAGGGTAAGAAGGCTGTGAGCTTTGGTGTCAATTGCGGACAACAAAAACGAACGGACTCGGTGACTGAGTTGAACATGAGACTGAACTCGCCAAAACCACTAGTGAAATGAACGCTTAACTTGCGCGCGTTACGGATGCTTACGAACGCTTACGACTTCAGTAGCGCACTCTGAAGATAATATGGGCTTGATTTGGTCTCTGAAATAATATAAATAAAACAGACAACATGATGCAGTTGAGCCGCAACGAAACAAAAATATAATTAGTGCAAGTCTGAGCACAATGCACGATACACCTGGTCACAAACTGTGATTGTAAGGAGCCGAGTCAACTTAGGTGCAATAACGACTAAAAAGGTGCGCGAACCGACTCTAGCTGTATATGGCTCCCAGAAAGCGCCTCAAACGCTCGTTTCTGGATTTTGGAATTTCAGATCTTGAATGTTATCCTCGGTGATTTCGCCTGGTGAGCACCTCACCGTGACATAGCCAAAACAGCAACTTGAAGGTTTGGAAATGATCATTAACCATGACAGTTAAGTTAGGTTAAGATATGCAGCCACTCATCTGTTTCATTCGGAGCCGGGTGCCGTGAGCAGCCATACCCGAAGGTAATTCGGCCTAATAAGTTCAACTTGCCACTCACCAGGCTCATCTAGAGTAAGTATGTGCAGGCAACTGAGAACAGACACCATCGTATAAAATCATACCAGCCCCTTCCTTCGACCTTCTCAACACCTCCAGGTCGAGTACAACGAGCGGCACACCATGAGTCTATTGAAGATCCCCTTCATCCTAGTTTCGGCCATCGGCATCCATATTTCGTTGACTTCTCCTTCTCCGCCACCGTCGTCTAAAGAGAAGGTGGCGCCCTCGGCGTTCGAATCCTTCATTGAATGGTTTTCGGAACTTCGCTATGGGGAGTTGATGAAGGTGGGTTGCTCCTAAACACCGGTCGTTGTCCTTATTAATCTGTGGACAATACAACAGATTGGCGTATGGGCAACATCGTCTGCTGAAGTGGCTAACATCCTAGCCTTGCATATGGGTCCCTCGCATATTCCAGAAGGCATCTATGGCGCTAGGGCTGTGCATTTTTTGCGCGCTCTTCATCCCATGCCAATCACCCCCGCTTTCCTTGTCGGCAGTATTGCTGTCGCGATTGGCGGCGTGTTGAGGCTTTATTGTATCTCGACGCTAGGAAAGTTTTGGAGCTTCCAGCTCAGCGTCAGAAAAGAGCACAGACTTGTGACAAGCGGGCCGTACTCGGTGGTGCGCCACCCAAGTTACACTGGTCTCCTTCTCCAAAGTGCGGGGTTCGCCGTCATGCACGGAAGTCAAGGATCGTGGATGAGGCAATCTGGAATCTTACAAGTGCCTTTCATTAAAGTATTAACAGTGACTAGCTTTTTCGTGTTTATCACATTAGCCACTTGGGGTTCCATCAGCCGACCTGCGGTGGAGGACGAGATGTTGCGACGTGCTCTTGGAGAAGAATGGGAGAACTGGGCAAAGGAAGTGAGATACCGGCTTATTCCTGGAGTTTATTGATTACACACGTACAATACTAAATGCTCTGTGTGTATCTGTTTACTTCCCGTACTGGTACCATGCTGCGAGCCTGCGGAGATCGTTGTTTTATAAAGCTGATTGTATGATGTATGTACATCGTCACCCTTGTCCATGTCATTTCCTACATCGAATAATATGATAACGCCACTGGATGAGAAAGCACTCCGCAAACACGCCACTCAGTCGGGGTAAATACCCAGTACAATTAAAAGTGAACTCGCATACGTATAACACCTTACAACGACTAAGAGCGAGCCCAGGGTGTTAAACGTTAAGCTTTTAAGATTGATCTGGTACTACGAACCACCGAGGATTGAATTAGATGACCATTTTATTCTCCAACAGTTATGTAAGTGAACAGTTAGGCAGTCATTATGTACGTCATGGTCACCTTCTAACCAAATTGAGCTCACTGCGAGCAAATTCGATAGGATTACCCCTCCATTTTCTTCGACACAGTTCCATTCTATAAGTTCCACCATTACTATTATATGTCGTTTATCCTGAAGGACAAAATCAAACTATAGATGTCTCATCAACTTTAAACACGCGAGTGCCGAGGTATCGCGACCGGAACATTAACGGGCTCCATGGCTTTTAACATTCTGGTCGATTTTGGCTGTTGAGCACGCCAGTTGAAGACTTGAAGTAGACTTGTGTCGTGGCCGCACGTATTTTCTCTTGTCGAGCTGCTACTCACAAGTTTGAACGGTCGAATCTAGCGTACGTCATGTCAACCTCTCACCAAACTGAAATGTATTTCCCTCGCTGTAATATCACTCCAGTTATTCCGCCAACTCCCAACCAAAGGTCTGCATGCGCATTGGGTGCAGCCAAAATATCTCGCATCTCAAACTGCGAGTAGTTCACTAAGAGGTTTCCACCCTTCTAACGCACGTTGTATGCAGCCATTTTGACGATTTCTTAAGGATCTCATAGCCTTGCTTCTTGCGCTCTGCTGATGAGATTGGACGGAAGCGTAACATTGACTTCAGGTATGCGTTCTTCCGAGCCTCTCGTAATCATTGATACATCGTAGTTGAAATTGAAATTGCAGGACTTGGTTTGGTTAGAGCACTCTGGGGGCGTATTTTGGTGTTGGTCGGGTGGTCTACAAAGGTCATGGGTGCTCTAAGGGCTGTACACGCAATACTTTGCCTCTCCATATCAACGCTGCCTCAGGCGCTAGTTCCTACCTACCTATTTCCTCATCTGCAATCTTCACTTGGTTCGGGCCATACATTTCCTTTCTTCAGCAGAGGTCTAAACTTGCTCATGCTCAGCGTCGCATGTAAAGGAAGGAGAAGTGCTGCGCTATACTGATAGTGAACTTGGAAGTTGAAAGCATGGTCTAGTACGTCACGCGTCAAGCACAACACTAGCGTGCGCTCCATACTCGTGATCGATAGCCTTCGGCAGGCTACTAACTTTTGAAGAGACGCGTCCGCTCGGCTTCAGTTCCGAGGAGCGCTGCAGTTTTGTCACTTTCCGATACGATCGGGTCGCACGCCAAGATCTAGACTGCGTGAAGTGCGTCGACGTCATGGATGTTTGTCAGACACAGTACTAGTGCCGAGCACTTTGCAATTGGTAGACGTGTACATTAGGCCATCGCATGCATTTGGAAGCGAGCGTCACAGCTCAGCGCCCTGTAACTATAGGACGAGGATATAATGCATGTTCGCGAGGATGTACCCAGCATATATAACGCCCCTTCTGCATCCCACTCAAAGATGGCTGTAGTTCAACAGACTTATCCCGGCAGCGAACTCGATGCCCTGTTCCCCTCCCCATCGTTCCCGCCGGACGTACTTTCTCCTGCGCGGTATCCTGGTGCTTCCCCAGAAGCAGTTGCAGCTTTGACATATGTTTTGAGGGATAACTATACGAAGCACCATATTTTCTCCAACTACCGGCAGTTCCATAAGTGCGTATCCATCTTAATCAATCCGTGTTTTATGTTGTTGATTCGAGGGTCGTTGAAGCCACATCACTCATCGCGCACTGGCACTTTATGTCACGGGCGCGAATGGATCTCTGATCGAACAGTTCTACAAAGAGGACAGTGCCCACCAGCGCCCAGCCATCGAGCCTCCCGCGGCTATCACCGAAGATAACTTCACCGAACATCTAGGTGACGACAAGTGAGTTTAGAGTTGACACCAACAAAACCCCGCTCAAACAATTCTTTTCAGCTTTTACGCCGCGTACAAAACTTTCTTCAGCGAGGTTATCGGGGAAAGGGGCGTCAGCGCCACGTTAGAGGAATACATCTTCTCTAAGAAGTACAACTTTGTTGAGGGACGAGATGCATCTACCCAGCCAGTGATGTTGGCCCGCTTCCTTAGAGGTTTGTTCCACGCCTTCATCCATGTAGGATACGGCGCAGAATTTGGTATCCCAGGCATGGTTGTTGAAGGTGAGCAACGTGACATCATTGTAATCAGGTCCCTGACCGACATCTCAAGGTCTTGCATTGACCAGCGTGCATGAGCATGGGTTCTTACCGTCATATCTTTTTGAGCGTAGCGGCACGACTGCAGTGGAGGAGGCAACAACTCGGCTTGCTTCGCTCGTCCTTGACAGAAAGATATCTGTTGTGCCCTTTCAGCTCGAACAGCCCCCCAAAAACCATGCATTCTCCATTCTTGCCAAGATCATGCAAGATTCGAAATTCGCACCGAAGGAAATCAAGAAGCACTTTAAAGATTTTGATTTTGACGGCCTGATGTCCGAGCACGGTGATACTATATGGCGCTACGCTGAACAATGGACGATCGACCCGTCACAGCCGGGCGAAATCCAACGCAAGATGGAAGAATGTATTTGGACGAGCACTATTCTCTACACTATTGGCGGATGGAGCAAAGACAGAGGCTTAACACCAGACTTTTTCTTGTAAGTGGTGTCAATCCAATCATCCGCAAAAATATACTGATTTTTGGGGCGCTCCAGCATGCATCTTGTCACTTCAAGTGTCTTCCTTCCATCCCTGTTGCCTTACCTGCCGCAAGACTCGCAAGTTCTTTTGCTTCGCGGATACTTTGCATCGACTCTTGGATGGTGGATCACGCGCGGCTTCCCTAGACTGGACATTCAAGGCTTCCTCAGCGCAACCTCGCATATTTCGTCAGAGATCAAGGTCGCTAACCCATTCCTCGACATCGTTCAGTCTGCGATAACGCACCCAAATAATCATCTGTTGAAGATTCAGCGCGCATTTGCGCATTTCTCTTCACTTTATGGCGCACGGCCCAAGGGCTCCTTCGGAGGTACGGAACTGGAGGGCGCAGAAGCGCTGGATGGATCGCTCTTCCTTAGGGCTGCGAGATTGACTGAGGAATATATGAACGAGGGTACGAGGAGCTGGAGCCAAGAAGGATTTCTCACGATGGATTAGGAGTGAGCGAGGAATTTGAGATGTATCTATTACGAGCACCACTTAGTCAATGCAGTTCGATTTTGCTTTCAGAGCTAAGTGTGTTGATCGTCCGACATCGCTGAAGGCATGCAGTATATGGATCTAAAGGGGGGTAACTCTAAAATGAAGCGGGGAGACTAGGAACGAGAGAGAAAATCAGTCTTCGATTGAAGGGGTGAGGGGAGATGATTCCGAAGGAAGGAGAATAAAAGGTGTTGAGACAGAAAACGAAAAGACAATGTGCAGGATGAGTACTTGAGTGACAGTGTACTATGTAAAAGACCAGATCAAGGGGTGAGTTTTGTTTGCAAACCACTGTAAAATGCAGGATGATACAACTCGAACTTTGAAGTATCGGCAAGCTTGAACAAGAGGGGAGGTGCTCGTATTGTGGCCACAGAATCACTGCACAAAGAAGTACAAATAACGGCCCTGGGTGTTGTGGGCAGAACTACTTGAGGTTAGTTTTGTCGGCACAACCAACAGAATGACCGTCCTGCCGATTGGCATAACTCTAGCGGTAAAAAATTCCTATCTACAACATCAATGACCCAGTCCTACTAAAGACATCAACGACGCCTCGTCCCATCCAACCACAGGACAAAGGATCAGCCGAGAGCCTATTTTCACATTTTTAAAGTTATACACAGTGTACATATTATGGACTAGTTCTCTACCAACCCCGGGTTCTGCCATCTGCCAAACCGGTTGGCAGAACTCTGCCCACAACACTAGACTTTCGGACCAGGAAGATAAGACCAGCTGTACCCTTTTCGGGTCCTGGAATATGATCTCACTGACACTATCCTTCGTTGGAGATGGGCCAAGTTTCACTCACTCGAACCCAGGGGCTTTTCAACTGTGCAATCGGAGTTACATGTATTTTTCGAATCCTCCAGCAACACATTTATTGACCGTGACGCATGACGTACTGACAGGATTCAAAGGAGATGAAGAACTTCCGGTTCGCTCACCACAAGATTACCTGTGATGTGCTAAACCCTCTTTGACTCATTGATTCACCCGCTCCATGAGTCTCACTTGGGATACATTAGTCGCATCAATCCGGTGATGGAAGTACTTCTGTTCCACTTGCGTAACGATGGGTCTTCCAAACTTTTCTTTAGAAATGAGCACGTTCCTAGTGCTTAAAACTCGATCATCGAGTGCGTTCAGCATTATCATATGGAGTGCGCTCCGAAACAAAAAGAAAAGTGTAATGCTGATGGAGTTGCTTCAGGATGTATATACTGACATCTCCTCTGGATCTATAGATCCATGTCCCATGATTCTCGTGAGTGGCTCGCCTGCCGTGTAGCTCAAAAAAGGTTATCCTCGGAATATCTTGACTTTGCCGAGTAAGCACCTCACCGTGATATAGTCAAACCAGCAAGGAAATGTTAACCATGATATTTCGTCTAGTTTTGGTTAAGATATTTAACTACTTACCTGTTTCATTCGAAACCGGGTATCGTGAGCAGCAAGACCTGAAGTCATTTTGGTCTAATAGGTTTTAGTTCATCAGGTAAGAGCAAGTGTCATGTGTAAGTAACTGAGA